CAGTAAAAAGGGTTTTTGAGAATGCCTTCCATTTTAGAGAGAGCTCAAAGGCCAAAAAGGCCCCAACATCTCACCTGTTATCCTACCAAACCAAAACCAAACTCACTGCTGTCCAAGCGGCTCCAGTTCACAGTGACCTCTCCTTGGGTTTCCAAGGCGATTATCACTAACGAAGCAGATTGCCCAATCTTCCTTCCAAGGAGTGGCTGGGGGGTTTGAACTACCAGCTTTCTGGTTAGCCATCAAATGCCTTAGGCACTACACCACCAGAGCTCCTATATTATCCAAGAAGCAACAGAATTAATAAACACTTTTTTCAATATTTAAATCAGGGAAGTGACATAAAGGTATCTATAAATCTATAAATGAACCAAAAATAGGGGAGATCAAAGACAGGGAATTCAGAAAGATGTCACTATGATCTAGGAGAAAGGTCTAATAAAGGGTGGTGGCCTGGGAAGGTGTGAGCTAAAATACAAAAGTACTAAAACCTAATGCTCAGAAATAAATGAAGGCCACCTAACATGACAAAAAGTCAAAATCACTGCCATGGAGTCAATTCGACTCATAGCGACCCTTCCTTGGGTTTCCAAGGCAGTATCTCTACGGAAGCAGATTGCCCAATCCTCCTTCCGAGGAGTGGCTGGTAGGTTTGAACCACCAGCCTTCTGGTTAGCAGTCAAATGCCTTAGGAACTAGGCCACCAGAGCTCCATCTAACATGACAGTAATGGATAAAACAGAAGAAACTGAAATTTGGGAACTAGGAATGTGAAAGATACTACTTTGATAAATTATCTTTAATCTGTTGGCTGCTTTAAACACGCAGTTATATTCTGCAGGAAGCAGAGAGGTGAGACTGAAAAAAGGGTGAGAGGAGAATTTTAGCCATGTTTCAATTATCACTCCCTCCCACGTGGGAAGAGAGCTGTCACATTGTAGGGAACTGCAGTCAGTGTCATGAGATAAAACGTGTATGGACTGCTGCATGGAAAATGTATTTGTTCTGTAAACTTCCCCCCAAGTTACAATAAAAATTAAACAAAAATCACTCCCTCCTGAAAACCATCAATTACGGTTTTTAGCTGCTCCACAGAAGATGGAGCAATCTACCTCTGTAAAGATTTACCACCTTGGAAACCCAATAGGGGTTGCTGTGAGTTGGAATACACTTGATGACAATGAGTTGGGGGTTTTTTAATCCAATATTACTCTACTAGCATTTAAATATATCAATCATTTCAAAGGCACTAACCATAATAATATATTCCAAAACACATGGGGTCTCTTCCCATCTGCTTATCACTTCACTACTCTTGTTTTGACTATTTCCTGCTGCTTTTTATTAGTTCCATTCTGGTAGCAGTGAATTTTAAATTTAAAATATTCAACATTTCCAGGCATCTTCTACATCCTGGTGCTTTCATATATTTTATCCCTTAAAACATTATCTGTAAATATTAAAAAAAAATTTATATAATTGATAGGCAATATGGCCACAAATGTAAACAACCGGTACTTCTGTAAGTTGAAGAATATTAAATATTAAATTAAAATCCACTTAGAACCCAGACCACCAAAGTGCAACTATAAACTTCACGATGCAATGCCATGGTAACTTGCATTTATAATCACGAACCTAGAGATCTACACACTAATTGGTATTTTTAAAATCCTTATTAGACATAAAAATAAAAAACTAAACAGGATGATGCCAATACCTAATCCTGGTCTGGCTTTGGGACCCACATGTCTCTGCTTCAAAGGTCCCACTGCTTTGAATCATTCAGTAAATTCTGCCTGAACACTTATATACATGATTGATAAACAAGGGTGTCAGCCTCATGGATTTTAGTTTCATAGGTGATACAGAGGAGCAAACAGGCAATTAATCCCATTAGGGCTTTTCATGCCATCACAGGGTGTGCAGCCCTACCTAGCTCCCATCCATGTCCCTGCTACATTCTTCTGGGACTGTTCACTACTTTGACTTGTTGAAAAATCACTTAAGCCAGTCTGCCACATGGTGGCACAAGCAAGCAGAACTGAGAGAAAACGCCACTTGCCAGCTCCACTTAGTTACATCATTCTCTCAAGCTGCTCTTATTTTCCACGTCTGGGAGGCTCCCAGACACCATCATGCTGCCCAGTGACACGTACACTTCCAGAGCGGTCAGATATGGCCATGCGAAACAAAGACACATATTCTGAGTACCCAAATAGATAAGATTCAAACAGCACTTTTATTTTAACAAAGTTGTCCTGAATATGAAAATATTAGGTGTTTATAAGGGCCAATAATCACAGTCTTGAAAACTTTTTAATCATTAAATAAAGCATTTCTTTCTGAAATAATAAATACATGCACACTAATAGACCCAGACATTTAGAAAATCAAAACATTAAGAATCCGTATTTAGGCAGAATGAGATTCCATTTGCATAGATTTGAATGTTTTGAACACAGCATAATCACTGCATATGACTCTGCATAATCATCTGTACAGTTTATAATTTCATTTATACTACCAGCTCTCCTCGAAAAGGATTACTTCTTAGTTCTAGTTGGAAATATAAAATCCAAAAATTAATAAAGCTATACTGTATCTGAAAACACTTTGGCTAAAGTACTAATACCCTCAGCCATGTTTCCTACTAGCATATACAATGGTTAAGTCGGGGGGCGGGGTGTGTGTGTGAAGTTTTCAACAATCTACTGCTAGTAACTAGCACACATATATGGCTGTATAAAAATTATCCTTCTACTCCAAAATTTTAATTTTACTGTCCTCATCTTGAGTATGGACAACTGTCATACACAGGAGAAAAACAGAGGGCTTTTAAATAAAAACCCAATTTCATTTGACTAAAGCTTTGGTTATACATATTATTTAGCTGAAGACTCATTTATATATAAATCAGGAAGTTAATCTACAGAGTTGATATTTTAGACCCTGCCACTCCTGAAGGAAAGTGACACATAATTCACAGATAATTTAGAGAAAGTTATAACCTTTCCAGGTGGTTTTAAAATTAACTGTTACGTTTACCTCATTTCTGAATTCATCTTCCTGAATTCACTGATTTCTAAAACTGGCCTTAAACAAAGGTCTGAAACTATCAGGTACCATACGACCCAGGCACAAAAAGGTACTTCAAAGGGTCTCAGAACTGTTGTTCACATAGGAAAACAATCAATTCCCACTAAATTCAGAAATAAAATGTTGAAAAGGCCTGGTATCCCAGTTTGGTCCCTTCCCACTCCCCCACCCCCAGGACAACTCCATATTCTACTACCTAGTGCCCTTTAAGAGTTTTGTTGTAGGTAAACGACAGCTAAGACTTTATTTTTTGTGAAAATATGCACAGCTGATCATACCTCATTCAACAGTTTTGACATGTACAGTTTAATGACAATGGTTAATTCTTCACTCGTCACCATTCTCGTATCTCCTCCCCTATTATTCCATCACCATTGACTCAGACTCATTGCCCCATCAACTACTCATCTATGCTTTAGTTACTGCTGTCCATCTGATCTGATATAGATTAATTCTTTAAAAAAGTGCATTTTTCAAGGCGAGCATTCTTTATTAAGTCAGCTCAACTGTTTAGTTCAGAGAGGACTTCAAGGAAGTTTCAGTTCAAGGTAAAAAACTTTCGGAGGGCAAAATCCTGGGTTTTCTCACAGCTTCAATGGATTTAAAAAAAAAAAAAAAAAGATTCTGTAACAGTCTGTATCAGAAATTTGAAATTCTGAGTCCTTATAAAAAAAAGTTCACTAATCACAGCCAGGCACCATCCAGTTCTTGTCTCACGGCAAAAGAGGCAATAGTCCGTGAAGGCAACTAGACCTGCAGTCCAATTCCTTCTCCAGTTCCTAGGTCTCTTTCCTCTGCTGCTCCAGGCAAAAAGACCAACTGTTCTATCTTGGATGGCTTCTCACAAGCTTTTAAGACTCCAAACACTGGTCACAGAACTGGGGGGTAAAACTGAAACTCTGAAAACAGTGTTAGGCCAAGGGTTGGATAGTCCCACAAAGCCATGACCCTAAGTCTTTGAACCAAGAGAATTTATCCCAGGAGGTGTTTGGTTGTACTCAAGTAGTATGAGCAAATGCATCTTTTTTTTTTTGGGGGGGGGGGGCAGGTTGCTGACGTTATTAAATTACAACATTTGTCATTCTGCCCTTTTTCTGGTATAAAACTTATCAAGATATCAGTTATTTTGGTCAAGCTGCATAACCATTACCCTAATTGATGCCAATTTTCCCATCACCATATAGATATAAACTCACTACCTTCCTAGAGAATGATTCCCTCTCTTCCCCTTCCTGGGAAGTGCTAACATAAGTGAGGTCATATGATATCTGTGCTTTTATGATCAACTTATTCCATTCAGCATAATGTCTTCAAAGATCATCCATGTTGTAACATGCATCAGGACTTTTTTTTTTAATGGCTGAGTAGTAGTCACTGTATGTATTTATATTTTGTTTATCCACTCATTGGTCAATGGGCACTTGATTGTTTCCACCTTTTTACTACTGTGAACAGTGCTGCTATGAACCAAGGTGTACACAGACTTCTCAATTGACAACATCACCCCCCTTAATTACCATCCACATCCTTTCCTATGTGAAAGAGATTAGAGAATAAAAAGTAGTTTTAGTTAGCACCAAATATTACTACCAATTTCTTTTTTATTGATAGGAATATTTTAAGAGGTTCTAAGAGCAGAGAAACCAAGGACTAGACTGAAAGGTTTAAGAGTATCTAAAATTTAAATATTAAATCTTTCATACAAACCTATCTCTTTACATGAAAATTCTAAATAAATTAAGTTTAATGTCCTACTTATAAAAAAATCAGATACTTCTCATTTAAGATGAAAATAATTTAAAACATGAAAGGATGAGGTAAAGAATGAGCTAAAAATCCAATTCAAATTGTATTAAAATCCCAATATAAACAGAAGTGAAATTTTCCTAAAAGAAAGTGAATATTCACTATCTCCCCCCAAAAAATTAGATAATTTACACTTAAGAAATCAATATGGACTGAGATATTTTCTCACTTTATGTATTTAAAAAAATAAAAATAAATTTAATGTTGCCAAAATATCTATCTGCATTTTTAGGTTTACAGAGATAGAAATATATAAATCCACTTTTACAGACAGGTCTATTAGAGGAAATAAGTTAACACAATCATCTGAATTGGTTGTCTACATACTGGACAGGGCTTATTTCTTTTTTTTAGCTTCTTCGCACACGTGAAGCATGCCATAAGATGTCCTGTTTTGCCATGGACGATGCAACCATTTTTAGGTCGATCTTGGCAAATCACACAAGGTTCAGTGGCAATCGGGCGAGATCTAGACTCTACACTTTCTTCTTTGCCTTGTGTTTCTTCCCTGTCAAATTCTCTGACATCTTGGCTGCTACAAATGATGCTACTAGAAGTTGATGGCTGAGAATAGTCCTCACTTTCTTGACACTGGGCTTGTGTTATACTATCATCATTTTCGTCAACACATGACTCTTTGGAGTCATTCACTGTCATTTTTTTACAATCAGGAACATCAAAGCCCTCTTCTACTTGTGTTGTGTTTTCTAGTTTGGTGCTGTCAGGAATTTTCTCTTTATCTTTCCTTTTATCTTCAGGAAGCCAGTTCTCACGAAGTGCCCAACATCTATTACAATGTGGTGGAAGAGGAGGATTCATTTCATTGCATGAAGTACACTTCCAATAGTCCTTCAATGAAATGAGAGAGAGAGTAACTAACTTCTGTAACCCTTTAATAACTGGTCACAGCAATGTTAACAACCTTAGTATGTCTACAATAAAACATTATCACACAACACAATTTTCAGCATTTTATGCTTTATATAAAACATTCAATGTACAACACTGATCTCTCCTCAAGTATGAGATTTTTAAGTACATTTTTTCCCAGCCATACCATCCTGGAGCACTGAAAATGTATTATTCCCTGTAATATTCACCACCACTCTGAAATTATTTGTTCACAGACACAGATAAACACAGTTGTCTGTTTAGCTGAAGCAAGTGCTATGGGATCTTTCACTCTGTAATAAGATCTGTACCTACTCATTTAGAGGCTGAAATCTGGATTCTGTCCCCAGAGTGTAGCCAATCAATCTGGAGAAAACTGGCCTTCCAAAGAAAGACCAAAAGCACCCAATCCTCCATACACTAGGATTGCCTCAACTGTGCTCTAAAGCCAGGGCTCAACTGAATGTTTTCCAATTCCATTCACCAGGGAAATGCTCATTCTTCTCAGACATCTTTGCCAGCTAAAACCTATCATCCTAGGTCACTATCCAACATGTATTTCTTTTATTTGTCTATCCTTTTCTGTGTTCTCATCTCTGTAATGACTCTATGCTTCTCCTTTATTCCAACTTTTCTCACAAACAACTATCATGAAATCTGGGTAACAAACTCCCCATTACCACCAGCCTCTTTACTGAGCAGATCCTTATCTCCTTGCCTTAACTGAAGCATGGTTCCTGCCTGAGGATACTGCACATGTAAATTTTGTCAGAGGATGTCCTTCCTTACAAATGCCTGACAAACAAGATAGTAGCAATAAGGGTAGAGACTTTGTTCTCCTGTACCAGTTCTTCAAAGTTGTCAAAAGTAGGTCTCCACTAGCTGATCAAACCAAAGACAATTGTTTTGCAATATAAGGAAAAAAAGGTGCTTCAGAGAGCCTATATCGGAAGATTTAGGTCTAAAACATTTCATTCATCTTGACAACTGAATCAGCTAATTACTTGACTTATTACTTTCTAATAGAACAAAAATTTAAGATTTGCAATTTTACTTTTTTGCATTTTAATATTTGTTTCCAACTCAGAAAACAAAAGGGACTTATTTCCTATTGTTATGTGCCATCGAGTCAGACCCGACTCATAGTGACCCCTCCTTGGGTTTCCGAGGCAGTAACACTACGGAAGTAGATTGCCCCATCTTCCTTCTGAGGAGTGGCTGGTGGGTTTGAACCGCCAGCCTTCTGGTTAGCAGTCAAGTGCCTTAGGCACTACGCTACCAGAGCTCCCTATTTCCTATTAAGAGATAATAAAAGGCAAAATTAAGCACAAAAGCAGTAATACTTTGCATAAAAAAATCACACTTTGAATACCTCAGAAATCCAATGAAGCATGCGATGTAAACATTTAAGTTCTACTTTCTTTAATGGTAAATCTTACCACATTCCCTAAAACAAGTCAGTATTAAAAATGTTTACATTCAGCAAAATGGGCAAAATGTTGGTAACTGTTAAAGCTGTGTTATAAATTCACTGGAGACACTGTATCCTATGCTGCACATACTTGAAATTTTCCAAAATAAAGTTCTTTAAAGATTCAAATTCCAAGATATAAAACTAAAAAATACAGCAACAGATTCTAACACAACAAATAAAGTACAATAATGCCTTAAGTCTGATATTTTAACTTTATAAAAATTCCCTCATTTCAGTTGGTACACTTGACCTCAGTCAAGTCTAATCTTGACCTCAGTGTCATTTTTGATTCCTTAAAAAAGTAGATGTCCACTTACAGCTAAGGAAATCTCAGGATCATCTTCAAATGAATCTGTATCACTCTCATCTGCCTGATACACGGTAACTCGATAAACCTAGTAAGACAAAATCCATCATCATCAATTCATTACCATGTTTTCTTTGATTTGAAAGGACTCTTAGTGGTTAAGTCCTAAAACAAGTGTCTACTACTGCATATGAGAAATTCCGAGACAATGGTCAAAATGGTGGAGTAAGCGTGAAAAGGGAGAAATGGAGGAGAGTGAAATCTTTGCCCACCACAGTAGAAAGCCAATAGATAGAATGTTTAAAATGAATACAGCAAAAAATTCAGTACAAGCATTTTTATTTTATAAATATGGAAGTACTAAATAACAGTGGAAATAGTGACAAATGATAAAGGTAAGAATATTTTTAAAAATGAATAAGCCATTATAAGAATTCTCATTAAGGCTCTTGACTTCTTGGCATTAGTTATGAGAATGATAAATCATATAATAAGGAACTACAAAAGTTTCAAATACACAACCGACACTCTAGTCTGAATAAATTAAAAGACAAGGATTCAGTATTTCCATTTTAACAAAACTATTAAATATGGAAAATATTTAACCACTTTCTAATTAGATGAAAAAACCTACCTCATCATCTTCATCTGAGAGTTCTTGTCCTTCTTCACTAAGATTATAATCTTCTGAATCAAGAGATTCAACTTCAAATTCTACACTGAATTGGTCTGAAACTGAATCCTGGTCCAACCAATCACCAGAATGTTCACTTACACCAGCATCCAGATCCTAAAAGAAAAAAGGTGACTTAATATATATTACCTCTTGACCTCTATAACAGTTTCCTAATTCATCCCTGTGCCTCTATTTCCTCCTCGAAGCCAACTTGCAGTAGATCAAGACTCTGGGTTATCACTGTATTATTTCTCTATTCAAACCCATTACCTAAAGGAAAAAGGCCAAAGCCTCTTAGCATTCAAGTACATACATAGTATAACAATCTTAACATCTTCATGTTATTTCCAATTAGACACATACCTTCTACTAAATATGGATAACCCAGCTAGTTCTAAATTATTTCCTAAACCAATCTTGGCAGTTTAAACTTCCCATTTACCTTCTCTACGTGGAATAACTCAATAGTTTCTAAACACTACTTATCTTTTTTGCCAAACCCTTTGAATTATTTTTAATGTAAGAGTATCATATATTCTAACACATAAATTATACAACATGTAATTTTGCATGCATGTTTCCCATCTGAATCATAAACACTGTGAGCACTAATTATCTTTGTTGCATTCACACAGATTGGTAGAATGCTAGCTACTAGACACACAATAATTATGAGGTTTTTTTTTTTTTAACTTTTTGTTGTGATTTGGGTGGAAATTTATAGAGCAAATTAGTTTTCATTCAACAATTCATACACAATTTTATTTTGTGACATTGACTGCAATCCTCACAATGTAACAGCACTCTTTCTACTTCCTCCTTATGTTTACTATTTTTCCATTCATCCTTTTTTCCTATCACTTCCTGACTAACTAGATCACTAGAGATTTATTTTTTTAAGTGAACACTGAGAATAGCTTCTCTTAAAGAGCTTTCACACTTAATTTTCTTATTTTTTATCTTCAAAATTTTGTATCTGCTTATCTGATTCCTTATCTTAGGGCTTTTGTTAATAGTATTAAGAACCCAGTAAGATTTTCAGTCCCATAATCTTTGCTGTCAGTGGCTAAGGTTAGGGCCATATTCAAAGCAAAGTACACTAAACAGCTAGAATTGGAGAAAGCACATTGGTGCAAAAGTCAGAACACAGTCTATTCAAGATTTACCAGTAACCAACCTCTAAAGACACAGCTATCTCTTCTATAAAAGAAGTTTGGGCTAAATTATCTCTATCATCTCAATCATATATAAAAACAAAAGTATATTATTTTATAACCATTGAGGGACCTTGATACTCAAAAGATTGGTTTCTAAAGTCTGTTAAAGTAATACTAAAAATGCAATCCATCAAGTTACAGCTCTGCTTTCTAATGAGGGCTCTAATTAACAATCAGGTTAGAATCACAAGTCAAGCTAGAATACAATAACATCACTAATAAGATAACCTAACTAGATACCTAAATTAACCAAACTCTAATTTTAGAATAAGGAGGTTAAATCACATGAAAACTTAAGACCTAAAAAGCATCTTCTACGACAGGGGGTCAGCAAACAGTAGCCTAGCAGCAGTCTATTTTTCAGCAAATAAAATTTTATTCGAACATAGCCATGCTCATTCATGTATCTACGGCCTATGGCTACTTTCATGTTACAAAAGTAAAATTTACTTCCTGCAACATAGACCATGACTCACTAAGTCCAAAACATTTATTATCTGGCCCTAGACAGAAAGGTTCTAGGGTACTATTAAGAAAGCAGTATTAAGAGTTGTTTTTTTAAAGTTTTGACTGATGTTCAAAAACAATGACCTAGAAAATTTTAAATATTGTTTATTTAAAAATCTTTATTCATGGAAAAAATTAGTCCAAGTGACTGGTACACCATGCGATCTTCAGCTTACGACTATGAGACCAGAAGAACTAGATGGTGCCCAACTACCACTGTCAACTACTTGGAGAGGGATCTATGTAAGAGATCCTGGATAGAGTGGCAGAACAATGTAGACCAAAACTCAAAATCATTTGGAAAAAAAGAAAAAGAAAAAGGGACCAGGTTTGCTGGTCTGATAGAGCCTGATGGAACCACTGAGACTATGGCCCACAGCTGACCTTCAGGTCTGGAATTGAACTCACACCTGTGGCTTCCAGCCAAACAAAAGAGAGGCATATGAGGTAAACATTTACACTAGGTAGATACACTCCTTGGAGAGAAAAATCATGGGAGACTAGAAGGGCTGCAAATGCACAGAGAAACAGCTCAGGGGACAGGAGTGTGTGTAGGGAAGGACATAGGGAAGAGGTAACTATGGGGAGGAAGTGAGAGGGGAGCTGTTGCATTGTGGTAAATTGTAGTCAATGTCATGAGACAAAGTGTGTGAACTGCTGCATGGAAAGTGAATTTGCTCTGTAAATTTCCACCCAAATCACAATTAAAAAATAGATAAATAGATAGACAGATAGTGGGAGAGAAAAGCATCAGTCATGCTTGATTTGGAAAGATCTTAGACTTTATACTCAGAAATCCTTGGTTTTTATCCGAATTGCATTTGTGACAATTAATTGTGGGAACCTTAAATAAGTTACTAAAAACTCCCAAGTCTTCACCCAAATCACAATAAAAAGTTACAAAAATAAAGGAAATGGGAAATCTAAAACACTAACTGAAACCAAAAAAAAAAAAAAAATTGCCAAGTCTTGGTTGTCCAATGTGTAAAATGGTGTATTAAGGTGTTAAGATAATAAAGTAAGATATACAGTGCCTAGAACATAGCCTTAGTTCCTCAATTTATCAAACTAAAAGAAAACACAGGAGAATACACTTTCCTTTAACTCTACTAAAACATTAAGAGGACGGACGGTCCCTCTTCACAAATCACTGGATGATGATATCAAATGATGACTACAACTTTTTCATGAGGTAACTAAAATGGGAGGGGGAAAAAAACAACTGGCCCTGCCAAAAGCTTTCACAACAAGAACTTAGCTTCAAATACAACAGGAATTTAATATGCAGAATACTTGTAAGAGAGTAGAACAGGACTAACAAAAGACAAAAAAAAAAAAAAGGGAAAAGAAATACCCTCTACATTGTTTTGATAAGCCATTGGCCAGTTACAAAACCAGAAAAGCCTCTAAATAACATTTAGCTAGAATTCTGATGCAACTTTAACAGAGACTGCAAGCTAAATGGGGCAGAGTATTTCTATTTTTTAACTCACTTTTAAGGCTCAAGTGAACCAAACATAAAGTATGTATACTGAAAACTATTCAATTTTCAGGATCATCACATATAATCATAAGCTGTGTTTTGCTGATAGTAGTATAATCCACTCTGAAAAAGAGTATGTTATCTTTTCACATACCCAGCTTCTTTCAGAAACCTAAGGTTAAGCAGATGAAATAACAGTCTAACTTTAAAAGTCTAAATCTGCAAATGGACAAATATCTAGTTATGCATCTAAGCTTTTTCTCAGCTAAGGGCCTTTGTATATGCTCTCCTCCTTCTACATAGAACACTATTCCCTTAAGTCTTTAGATGACAGCTCTTTTTTATCCTTCAACTATTTCTCTCTCAATTTACAAGCATTCTCCTTAGAAAAGCCTTTCATGGCCACACTGTCTGAAGTTAATCACTCTTCCACCCTTACTCCCCAATCCCGTCATTATTCACTGTCAATAACCTGCTAATTTTCATATCACTTATTAAATATTTAATTAACTGTTCACTCATAGTCTTTCTTCCCCATAAGGGCAAGGGTCATTTGATGACCACTGTATCCCAAGTGTCAAATATGGAACCCAAGAACCAAAACCAAATCAAACTCACTGCCATCAAGTCAATTCCAACTCAGCGACCCCTTTTGGGTTTCCAAGGCAGTAACCTTTATGGAAGTAGATTGCACAATCTTCCTTCTGCAGAGTGGCTGGTGGGTTTGAACTGCCAACCTTCTGGTTAGCAGTTAAATGCCTTAGGCACTACACCACCAGAGCTCAAAAGGCATTTATTTAAAGAACTCACTTTCAGGCTGAGTAGGCGCTCACCATGCCACCTAATAGCCTACATAAGTAGCAGCTCTCTTAAACAATAACTCTACAGGGTATAATCACAGATAATGCTGGAAACAACAAGAATGTATAAATATAAATAGTAAGAATGGGGCCATTATCACAATTGGTTCAGTCTCATATCTTCTAGAAAACTATGAAATCATCACTGGTATCTAGAAAAAGGATCACAAGATAGTGCCTTATCAAAAAGGAAGATTCCAATTTTAATAACATTTTAAAGACAAATGATAAGGAAGGAAACATTCCACTTGACAAGCATTCTTGTTAGTGAAAAATTCTTTACCAAACTTCTTTCAAGGTTAATTAGAAATTTTATTCCTGGCTAACAGTTTGGAATTCAGTATTAGTAATCAGAAAGCATTAATACTTTCCCAACATCCAAGCAATGAAACACCCTTATTTTACAGTCCTAGTAAATGTCTAGCCTTATGTATACAAATGTTAAGTTCAGACTACACTAACTTATTTGCTGATGGCTGTAGCTCTTATGGTGCAATGGGTAAGGCATTTGGCAGCTAACCCACCAGTTGGCAGTTCAAACCCACCAGCTGCTCTGTGGGAGGAAGATGAGGCAATCTACTTCCGTAAAGATTTATAGCTTTGGAAACCCAATGATAGACACTATGAGTCGGAATCGACTTGATGGCAGTGGGTTTGGTTTTGGTGTTGGTAATTAATATTTGTAATTTGAAAATTAAAGAAATATCTTAGAATCCAAAGATTTCTAATGAAACCAAATTTTTATTTTGATCTCTTAATTTTTAAGTGTAATTTCCAAATTTTGACCATTCTACAATCCAATCTATTTTACTATTGGTGCTGTGCCCCACAAAGATTCTCCAATATACAGGGTGGCATTAATAACTTAATATTGGTACCACTTTTATTAATATCCAATGCAACCTAGCTACCTTCTACCATTCTCCCTACATCTCCCCAAAGCCTTATTTAAAAGGAGGAAAATGTTACCACTGGGTTAAACAGCAATCTCATATCACACGTGTGTTCTATTTGTACACTTACTAAGATTACCAGAACTAGATTTCTCAAAAGAAAAGAGAGAACCTTGCTTTATTTAAAATGAGAAGATTACCGGATTTGATGGAGTTTCTGTTGACTCACTGCTACTGTTTCTTTCACGACCTATCTCCCTTATTACACACAGTGCAACACTTTCATCAAAGGAAAGGGAAACACTATCAGATCTATGGCGCTTTCTTTGTCCTTCAATGGGTAAGTCATCTGAATTTTCTTCTGGAGAGGTAAGAAAAAAAGTTAATCAATTTGCTGTACTATAATTTAATTTAAATAAAATTAAAGAGAAAAAATAGTGAATTACTACTAATAATCCAAAAGCTAACATTTTTATTGAATCTGTCCAACTGAGAGGTATACCAGAGCACTTCAAAAGCATTTAAAGGCATTTTAATCTTTCATAACTTTATCCCTAAGTCACAATAATTACATCTATCTAGAGTTTTTAACCAATCTACAATTTTTCTGTTAAGACCAAATTTCAGGATGTGAGATTTCAACTTTTATTTTTCTTAAAGAACCAAAAATGTTTAATTTGTTTAGAAGGTACACTGTTATTTTCAACAGGAATAAAAATCAATGAAAGTTGTCCATTTTAAGTAATTGTATGTGCCTTAAAAATCAGAATGTTAATCCATGTCAATGAAAGTAAAAATTGTTCGATTGCCAAATACACATACACACACATATACATATGTTGTTGTTGTTGTTATGTGCCGTCGAGTCAGCCCTGACTCATAGTGACCCCTCCTTGGGTTTCCGAGGCAGTATCACTACGGAAGTAGGATTGCCCAACCTTCCTTCCGAGGAGTGGCATATACATAACCAAAAAAAAAAAAAAAACCACCTCTCTGCTGTGGAGTTGAATCCAACTCATAGCGACCCTTCCCCTGGGTTTCCGAGGCAGTATCACTACGGAAGTAGATTGCCCAACCTTATGTATATATACATACCCATACACGTATATATGTGTGTATATATAAACATATATATATATATACACACACACACACACACACACACATATATATATGTATATATATACACCTTACTTAAAAAGTAAAAAGGCAAATGGATTGTGGAAAAAAAAAGTTAGAATTTCCAATTTGTCAGGAACATAATTTAGAGCCCTATTTAACACAACATAAAAAGAAATCTCAAGCACACTAAACATCAAGAACAAAAGACCATCAAGAACAAAACCATTCAAATATCTGTAAAAGAATATTCTTACAACAGGAGGTGGAGAAGTGAAGTATGATGTAACACCACAAAGCCTTCAAGAGACTGTTAAGATTAGACTATATTTACATGGCAAAGGTCAGCCAGAAGAAACCACTTGAAACACACAGGATAGAAAATAATGACTATCCATATTATTCAAATCCTCCTACAAATCAAGAGAAAGACAAGCTTGATTTTTAAAATAAGGTCAAAGATAAGAAAAGGCAATTCGTTAAAAAAAAAAAAAAAAAAAATGACTAAAACACATAAAAAGATCTCCAACCTCATAATGAGCAATAAAATGCAATGTGAGATGAGGTAGCATTTTTTACTCATCAGAATAACAAAAATTAAAATGACATTATCATCCAGTATCCATAAGGACTTGAGATAAAGGATACTTCTATATGCTGTTGGTAGAAGCATACAATAATAGTTCAACATTTTGAGGGCTATTTCTCTACCCTAGAGAAATACCTGCAGAGCACTTTCACTAAAACTAAAAGCACTAATAATTTCATAAGAGAAAAAACACCAGAATCCTTTCTGAATGTGCCAACTGAATATACATACATACCTGTCTCACTGATTGCTCTCCTTCTAGATGAGGTAGATGGTCTAGAAATCAAATTTGAAGATGAAGGTTTCTCTTCTTGGAACTCTTGTATATAGTCCTAAGCATTTAAGGAAGGTGGGGAAAAAAAAGACCATAGAAAAAATAAGCCTAGGAAGCCAAACATTTTTTAAGTAAACCTGTCCAATTTTCAAGAAATATTGTATGAAACTGAGAAAGTTTAAAGATTACCTTTTGATCACTCCCATCTTCAAGATGACACTTATTTTCACTCACAGATGTCCCAGAATCCAATGGTTCTGATAGAGAAGAAAAGTCCAGAATCACAAATTAGTAAAGAGCTATTTAAGAGACACTAGACTAGTACAGAACAAACCCCTTATATAATTTAACTTTCCCATAAACACTAAATGTGTATCCCCTAGGTGCCAGTTCCCATGCTAGATACTAGAAACATAAGTAATTCAATTCTAATAGAGAAGAAAGATACATAAGAGAATAACTATAAAGTACAGCAAATACACTAATTAAAGCAATATAAAATAAAGAAGCAGTGGAGAAGAGAGAGGCAATGATCATCTTGCAAGAGGTCAGGGTGTGAAGAGCAAGAAACCAGGGAAAGTTTCATAGGACACAGACATACATAGAAGGCAAGATTGGGAAAGGCCATTCCAGATTGAGGAAATCCAGGTGGAAAAGTATCCAGAAGGCAACTAACTGCCTACTGCAGGAACTACGAATAGTTCACTATTACTGAATGGAAGCACCAAAACAAAACAAAACAAAAAAATTCACTGCCATCAAATTGGTTCTGACTCATAGCTACCCCCATTGGGTTTCTGAGGCTGTCAATCTTTACAGAAGTAAATTGCCCCACCTTCCTTCCACAGAGCATCTGGTGGATTGGAATTGCTGACCTTCTGGTCAGCAGCCAAATGCCTTAACCACTACGCCACCAAAGCTCCTTCAAACATAAGCACAGTCAGATCATAAAGGATCCTCTGTGTCTTGCTCAACAGCACAAGAACATCAACAAACAGAGCTCATTCACGCTGTCATTCCCACATCATTGCCTTCTTCCCTGCTGATACTACAGAATCTCCCCTAAGGCAGTATTGCAGCCACTCACCACAGAAAATATTTAGGGCAAGAGATAAAACTTAATTTGCTAGCTCATACCATTTTATCTAGAAAGCAATAAGGAAAGGAACCCTTAAAAAGTAATTCTAAGAAGTGACAAATGACTCTCACAAAACTGAAGTAAAAGAGAACAGAGGCAAGGAAACCCAATATTAGACAACTACTGCAATAACAGAAATATAAAAGTATTAAAGCCTAAACTAAGGCTAAGGAGGATATTCAAGCAGCCAACAAACACATGAAGAAATGTTCATGATATTTAGCCATTAGAGAGATGCAAATCAAAACAACGAGATACCATCTGGCCCCAGCACTAGTAGCAAAGCTCAACAAGACAGAAAATAACAAATGCTGGAGAAGATGCAGAGAGCTTGGGACTCTCATACACTGTTGGTGGGACTGTAAAATCGTACAACCACTGTGGAAAGCAGTATGGCAACTCCTTAAAAAGTTGGAATTAGAAATACCGTTTGACCTAGCCATTCCATTTCTAGCTGTATATCCTAAAGAAGTGAGAGCCATGACAATAACAGACATATGCACACCCATGTTCATCACAGCACTATTTACAATAACAAAAAAATGGAAACAGAGGACTTCTGGTAAGATAGAGGAATAGGCAGACAAGTGACATAGACCCTCTTCAACAAAGAAAAGAAAAATCGACAGAGATACAGAAGATAATCCTGGAACCCTGAGCTTTGAAAGGAACTATATAGAAGTAGATTAGGCACCAAGTAGTGGAAAAACCTGAACGAAAACAGTGAGTAGAGAGATGGTCGGAGCTGCAGACTGTCAGCTATTCTGACGAGACCAACAGCCTGAATATTTC